GGTCCAAGTAGAAGCAGAACTAGGGTCCGATCAGAACCAGAACCAGGATCTGTTTAAACCAGAACCAAGGTCCAAGTAGAAGCAGAACTAGGGTCCGATCAGAACCAGAACCAGGATCTGTTTAAACCAGGACCAAGGTCCAAGTAGAAGCAGAACTAGGGTCCGATCAGAACCAGAACCAAGGTCCCATTAAACCAGAACCAGGATCTGTTTAAACCAGAACCAAGGTCTGATTAGAACCAGAACCATGGTCCCATTAGAACCAGAACCATGGTCTGTTTAAAACCAGAACCAAGGTCCGATTAGAACCAGAACCATGGGCTGTTTAAAACCAGAACCAAGGCAGGGTTCTAATGTTGGTGCAGCTGTAACAGATGGGACTGAGACAGAACCTGTACTGGTTCTGATGGATCAGGATCAGCTGTCCTGTTCTGACTGACAGATTAAAGGCCTGCTGCTATTGGCTCACAGATCAGAAGGCGGTGTTTCCTCTGACCAATGAGGCGGCTGCAGTAGGTGTTTTACCTTAGCTGATCTCAGAGGGGTGGAGCTTAACGTGGGGGCGGAGCTCCACAGACCCTGACGGAACCTTTGGACCCCGGCCTGGCCGTCCAGGTGGCCATCCAGCCTCCTGAGCAGAACATCCACATCCTGCAGACAGAGTGGGACCATCAGAACCGTCTGACAGCAGCTCCAGAACCGGTTCTGAACCCGGTTTACCTGCAGAGCCAGTGGATCACACACGGCGGTCTGAACACCTGGACCTGCTCCTCCGTCCTCCTGCTGATCTGCTGCAGAGAAAACGTCACAGAAATGGACCCATGCTGCTGACTGCCGTTGCCATGGTTACACGGATTCAGGGCTCCGCTTCACGAAGCAGGTTTACCAAAAACTTTTCTCTTTCACATAGAGTTTCCTCAACCTGGTTCTGTTGCCATAGTAACATCCTCCCAGAGCTAACCTGGTCAGCAGCAGGTTTCCTTCAGTAAACTCAGTCTCCTTCCAGCCAATCACACCGTTTTATTTCCTCATTTAATCAGATTTATGTTGTAGTTTTGTGCAACACAAAAAAACACTTATTAAAGAATGATCGGCATTAATTCACAGAGAATTAAATATTTATAGGGAGAGGATTCTACAACTCAGTGACAGGAGAGGAGATTACTGGATTTTGTTTTGTTTAATATGAGCGAGATGCAGATTATTTCATTTTTATTTAGTTATATTTACAGAACATGAAGAACTACTGAGATTATTTTCAGATTACACACAAATAGATTCTTTAATTTCACATGGGGGGGATTTACTGGATGATAGCAACCTACTGAGCCTACTGGCCCAATCTGAAGCCATTCTATGGGACTGATAGCCGCTAATAACGTCCATTTATTGGGACGATAACATCGGAAACGCTACAGCAAACAGCCACTGATTTACTGAGTAAAAGAGACTGAATCAACATGAGGAGGAACCCATGAGATGATGAACAGGTTCTATTTATTAGAATAACGTCTTTATTCTTCATCTTCACCTGCTGACAGAAGATTTCACCTAAATACAGGTGCTGGTCATAAAATTAGAATATCATGAAAAAGTAGATTGATTTCAGTAATTCCATTTAAAAAGTGAAACTTGTATATTATATTCATACA